AGTTTATGGACTAACATTATTACCTGTGTATGTTACAGTAATAATAGACGGTGGACACATATTGCTTTGGGGGCATCTCATGTCCTGTCTTACTTTGTCATCGTGCTCCAAAGTTTACTTGGGAAATCAATTCTCTTTTATATCTCGAGAGACTAGCCGTCCAGCAGCCCCTGAGCACCCAAGGCTAAGCATGAACACCTGTCCAAACTGGGCCAACGGGACTCTCTCTGAGGCTGATTCTTGGATGGGAAAATGCAAGAGCAGAAAATATACCAGTTCTACTGATGTTTTCTGGCCTTGGAACCCTAAACGCACTGCCTACCAATTCTTTTTTTTTTTTTTTTTTTTTTTTTTTTTTTTTACAGAGAGGAAGAGAGAGGGATAGAACGTCAAAAATATCGATGAGAGAGAAACAACGATTAGCCGCCTCTTGCATACCCCCCCACTGGGGATGTGCCCGCAACCAAGGTACATGTCCTTTACCGGAATAGAACCCGGGACCCTTGAGTTCGCAGACTAACGCTCTATCCACTGAGCCAAACCGGTTTCAGCTGCCTACCAATTCTTGCTACCCAGACCCCGGGGCATCTCTGGCAGGGCAGGGATGAGGCTGTTCATCTGCACAGTCTAACTCTCTTCCTGCACATACAAAACAGGTGATCCAGACCTGGTCTCTAAAAAGTCCCATCCGACCTGCCTCATTCTATCTTTCTGTGCGGCTGGGACCAATGGTCTCCCATGCAGCAGAGTTGAACAATGGAGCAGCCAGACCCCTTATTCCACCACCGGGAAGGGAGCAATCAGGTGAGCCTCCTACCCTCATCTATGACCAGATGAAGTAACCAACTTCCGTGGTGGTAAGTCATTGAGATTTGGGCACTGCTTTTACAGGAGTTAACAAGCGTTACCCTAATGTACTACTATCCTTTTCAGAGACTGACTTTCCTGTCTTCCTTGCAATTTCCTTCCAATGAATTCCTTTCTCTCCCCAGCGTGTAATTCTGTTGCTTTCCACCACAGTCCCTGATGGATAGACTACGAGTAATAACGAAAATACCCAGCTGGAGAATTAAGACTAAGGAGATTAACGCATATTCTCTCTGGAGATTGTAGATGCTTATTGTATTGACACTCTATCAATCAACAAATAAATGCTCAGCGCTAACTAACATTTAAGAGGAACAAAGTAAGCATTAATTACAGATTCTGCCCGTTTATCATTTGAGGGGAAAAAACATGCCCTCAAGCTTTCTTACTGCAGACCCTCTGCTAGGCAGCGCAGAGGCAAACACAGAGGAGAGTGGTTCGCGCCTCTGCTGACCCGCAGCCCTCGCTGGTGGAGAGCTCCCTGCGTTGTAGGGAAGTGAAGACACCCCCATGGGTGGTGGCCATGCTACCCTCTCCTGAAGTGAAAATAGGACATATGCCTGATGGGTTCCATCCTTGGCCCTCTGCCCTTTATATAATCTTCCTGGCTGGCTCATCTCTTCTTTCATGGTTCTATCACTCATGGTTCTCTATTGTCTCTTATCCTCGCTTCTTCACCAAGTTCCAGGCCTATATTTCTAATTGGGACACCGTCTGGATGCCCCACAAGGCTTTTCATGTTCAACACATCCAGAAACCAAACTCATTCTCCTGCCCCCCAACCTGCTCTCCACCCCGTGTCCTTTCTCTGAGTTGGTGGAGCGGTTGGCTACCCAGGGAACGAGGAGTCCAGTGACCTCAGAAATGTTTCTACGCCGACTTTTGTCAATCCACCTCTCTGTGCTCTCCAGCAGCCCCTGACTGCCCCCTCTCCCAGCACATCTCCCCCAGTGCATTGTCTACCCTAATCATACTCCCGCCCTGAGGTCTGGTTTCATTCTTCTGCTAGAGTTTCTTCACCGGCTCCCCATGGTCTTCAAGATGAAGTTCAAACTTCGCAGTCCTACGTATAAGACACTTCACCATCTGATCCAGTCACTTCTCCGTGTTCACCTTTATTAGTATAAACAGAAAACTAAATTCTCTGATCTTTGCTCTAATTCGCCCATCTTTGCTGATTGGTCCTCTGAAATTCCAACCAGTTATCTGCTGCCCATTTTGTGATGAACTCCAAGAAGAGCTAACATTTCAGCTCCTTCAATCACCATCAAGAGTCTTCTCATTCCAGTGGGACCACCCTTAGCCCTGAACTCTCTACAGAAGGCCACCCTTTATTCCCCCCCTCCCCCACGCCCCCCCTTCTGGCCCGGCTTCTCTGTGAACGAGCATCACGCTGCGTGTCCTTATAACCAACCTGTAACCTTTCATCTCTGCCACAAATCTCTGGGAGGTCATTTTCTCAAGGTAGTCGCATCACTCACGTTCATCTACATTTTAATGTGAGATTTTAGAATTTTAAAATTGAAATAAAGCTCAGAAGTAACTTAGTGAAGCACTGTTTCCTAAGCGTAAAAGCTTGATGTAACTCATAAGAAAGTTTTCAACCGCTTAAGGACATGGTAGTCACTGCTCCAGAGAAGACTGTCCGTCTTCCATGTCTCCAGATGTCAGCAGCTCCTGCTCTCACGGAAACACACTCCCCAGCCTGTGACCTCCACTCCTGGCTCTCATTTTATCCTGCCACACAGCAAGCTTCCAGTCCCTCTGGAGACACGTCCCAGGCTCCTGTTCCACGTCCTCTTCCCCTGGACCAGGTCCTCCCACCCCTCCTCATGCCAAGTTCAGTGCCCGAGCCGGTGGCTCATGGGACTGAAATAAGCAGATTGTGGGCCTGTCACCTTCCCCCTGAGGCCTTCAGCTCCTCCAGGCCGAACTCACAAATCAGGATGCTCTCCTGGTCTCACCTGGAAAGAACATCTAACAGATGGGCCTGCAGGATACAACACCAAATAACTGGGCTTCCAGACTGACAGTATTTTGAAAAACTCTATTATAAAGGGAGTCAAGGCACAAATGCTCAGAATTTTGCATTTGGGAAGTAAATACAGTCCTTTATGGCACCCAGAATATTCCTGTAGGTGTCAAGGCAACCTCTTTAGTTAACTACACATCTAGAGTTCCCTAAAAAGTTTACATGGCAAATGTATCTGCATGTTTCTAATTCCTGTGAACACAGTGGAATTGTGAGACATGCCACCTCTGCTGTGATGGGCTGGTTGTGGCCTTCCCAGTGTGTGTGTGTGTGTGTGTTTGTGTGTGGTTTTATTGATTTCAGAGAGGAAGGGATAGAAAGACATAGAATCATCAATGATGGGAAAAAAATCACTGATTGACTGCCTCCTGCAAACCCCTACTGTGGATTGAGCCCACAACCAGGCATGGGCTCTTGATGGAAATCAAACCCTGGACCCTTCAGTCTGCAGGCCGACACTCTATCCATTGAGCAAGACTGGCTAGGGCCCCTGTTTTCCTTTCTGCTTTGCTTTAAGTACCACTGATTTCTGCTCTCCATCTTTTTGCCCATCATGGGCGACCTCTTCCACCTGAGCATTCCTTTCTCCACCCTTTTGTCCAGGGACCACATCTTTGCCCAGGTTATTTATAGGCTCCCTGACCCTTTTCCCACACACAGCACCACCTCGCTCCTTCCCCACGCGTGGAACCGGGGCCAGACTACTGAGAGTGGTTTCTACCCGTCCACTTCCCCTGCACAGGCTCCACTTCCCCATGATGGCGGCACCAGCCAGGTAACCGCCCAGTCAGCGAGCTGTTGGTTTCTGACCTGGCCGCTAGTGGTGTGTGATGATGCAGACATTTATCTCTTCCTCCTTCTGAGTCACCCAGCCGACCCCCATCTGGTTTCCCTGGGTCCTTTTACAAAACGCAAAGAAGCTGTCCATCCCTTTATTTCCTCTCCAATCTGCTCCCATTCCTTCCCGGACCCCAGGAGTGTGGCTGTATGATGCAATGGCCAAAGGAATATGCACTTGAATCAAGTCAACCCTCCGATAAGGGTTGATTATTCACAATAAAGAGCTGATTTTTAATCATTATTACTTCATCCATTCTGTAAGTTACAAAGTTAAGGCAGCAGAACCATTGATTTGCCAAAATCACACTCATGGTTGAGTGAAACGAAATCCTAAGTGGCCAATTCAAGTTGTCCCTGGGGACTGAGTTTCCCGAGGAGGGAGCAAATTAACCTATAACCTCATTTGCCTTTAAACCTTAAATATTCTCCCAAATGGTTATCACATGGTTTCTTAAAAGCTAAATAAATAAATAAAGTAATTTCTTTAAAAAAACTGGCATCAAGTGTTTACCTTTTTCCCTACAATTTATCAATATGTAGTTTCTCTTTTTCATTCCTATTTTTTACTCCAATTTCCTTGTTCAACCAACACTTATAGAGCACGAAATATGTGCTCAATTTTAAGTTCATAGGAGGTCACCCCACTGACATCCCTCCAGTCCACGAAAGGGGAACAGTAGTCCAAAGTAATGAGTTGGCATTTATGGAGAAACTGCTATTAATAAGGATTAGATAGATATTTGCTTCGAGAAGAACTCAGACACTTCTAGGACTCAAGAAATTGGCTTTCCAATTACACGCTGCCACATTGCTCAGCAGCTCTTTGCGATGGCGCCATTCAGCATGAAACTCTCCAGTTCTCAGCCATCTCCCCCGTAATTGTCCTAAGTGGAGCTAATGAATGGGAAGGATTCCAGATTCTCAGAGGTCCTGACTCACCAGTGATTTCCCAGCTCTCCTGGGTCTCTACCCTCTTCAGGGGCCTCAGGCGGTTCCTTCAGGGTTAGCATATAAAGATAAGTAAAGCTTGGAGCGAGAGAAAGCTGGGTAATGATGCAAATGAAAGGAAGAAAGAAAAAAAACCTAACAGAGCAAAAGAAAGATTCAGGACATTGCTAAGTAGTGGGCCATAGCCACCAAGAAACGAGATGGGAGAAATGCCAGCCCGAAGCGCTCTGTCAGGCTGTAGAGGGTCAGGGCCGTCTGCAGGGGACCGAGAAGGGAACTGGCCAGCAGCTAAGATGCTCACATCTTCACTCACCCAACACCAGCAGCTCCACCGAGTCCTCGTTTTTGCCCTCCAGGTCATCGGGGGTGGTGATGATACAGTAATAGAGGCCGCTGTCTCCCCACATGAGTTTTCCAATTTGAAGGTCTGCATCTGTCAGCACAGAGAGAAGAACCCAATCCTGCACCTGGCCTCTGAGAAGAGCAATAAGCAACATGCAGCTGAGGGGACCCCTGGGGCATGTCCGCAGAGGCCGGTCTACCTGGACGGTGGCTGAGAAGGTGTCTGACTTCCCTAAACCAACGTGCAAAATAAAAACCCAGCCAGAGACCGGGAGCCCCGGCAGAATCGGTCTTGTTCCAGGGCGGGGCCAGGAACAGAAGACCAAGAAGCCAAGTGGGCGCAGAGGACCCTAGAGCCAGGTACATTCTAGAATCACCTGGACTGCTGCAAAGGAGCTGGCTTCACAGCAGTTCTTCAACATGCAAATAACCCCATAGATCAAACCAGACTCTTAGGCCCCTGTCTTGTCCAAAGCTGGGGGGAGCAGGAGCACGGGGGAGGAGAGAGAACGCAACGTGGGGTGTGGTAATGGCAGCCTCCTGGCTCAGGACCGCAGGGGTGCACCCTCCCCCAGGGAGGAGTCTGCTTTCTGAGTCAGGAAAGGCCCTGCAGACTGACGTCAAGGTGTCTGACCGAGGCCGTTCTTTTGCTAGAAGCCATTTAATTTCGGTTCTGACAGCAAGGCCCTCCAACTGGAGGGCAGGACAGGAAGGACGCTCCCCAAGCTCAGCTCCATCCACTCTGGCTGTCACATGCTCCCCCCGCGAGCCCATTAAAGCAAGTCGATGGATTCTTGCTGCTCCCATGTCCCAGAAAATCAGCCTTGGGGGGCTGAGAGACTGAGAGGCCAGCATCCCTGGGTCATGGGAGTCTGGAACTAAGGTCCCTCCCGTCCTAATCCAAAGCAGAGCTTGGTTACCGTGGACGATGGTGACCTCTCTGCCCCGGTAGAAGTCGCCCAGGGTGACGGTCGAGCCCTGTTTTGAAGCGACCACGCGAACGGTCCTCCTGCTGTCCAGGCAGTCCAGGTAGGGGTCCCACTCCAGGTTCCTCTTGCTGAGAGCCTGGGCCCGGGGAGAGGCCAGGCCCAGGGACTCCCCCATGCGGTCCTGGCAGTAGGACTTGAACTTCCACTGCACAACGGCGGGTTGACGGGAGGACGTGGAGAAGTGGCAGCGGAGCAGCGTGGGCTGGAAGAGCATGGCCACTTGCTTCTTGTCGGGCACTGTGACCTGGAGACCACCTGCCAGGGCTGCAACACAGAGGGACATGTCCGTACAGCACCCGTACACAGTACATCACACACAGCGCGTGGGCATGCACTCCGGTGTCCCCTCCTTCCTCTGCCCACCCCCACCTGCTTTCTCCTCCAAGTTAATGGCATCAGTCTCCATCCAGTTGCCTTGTTCAGAAACTGCCATCGCCACCAATACCCAACCAGTCATTAAGTCACGTCAATGTGACCTCAGCATCCTTACTATCCTTCCCGCCTTCTAAACATTTAAAAAACAAACATATTTTATTGATTTTTTACAGAGAGGAAGGGAAAGGAATAGAAAGTTAGAAACATCGATGAGAGAGAAACATCCGTCAGCTGCCTCTTGCACACTGCCTACTGGGTATGGGCCCGCAACCAAGGTACATGCCCTTGACCGGAATCAAATCTGGGACATTTCAGTCCACAGGCCAATGCTCTGTCCACTGAGCCAAACCAGTTAGGGCCCTTTCTGCCTTTAACCACTTCTTAAATGCTCTCCTCCATTCTTGCGTGTACTATCACAATAATCTCTTGTCTGTCCCCTGCTACAGCTGCTCGCAGGACGTGCTTCCTCTTTAGTTCAGGTGAACTTTCTACATCTGACTGTTAGGGTTCTCCTCAAAATCCTCCACTCCGCCTCCATGGCCTTCGGAATTCTTGGCAAGGCATGTAAGGCTCTCCCTTCATCACCCAGTCCCTCCTCCCTCCTTCACTTCCTGCAGCCCCTCTGAGCACCGACGTTCCCCAGGTGCAATTTCACACCTGTTGCCCCTCGTTTCTGGGATGCTTTTGCTTCACTTTCCTTGGAAACTTCCTTCCATTTTTCAAAATCCAGTTCAAAAGCCACCTGTGACCACTCAGTGCATCGGTCACTTCCTCCCTGGCCGCCAGTCTCCCCTCGTTCTCCTGTAGACATTGATTATGGTACCTTGGCAAGGGTCTGTTTCCATGCCCGCCACGCCATCAGTTCCTCTGCTGCCCGGGCCTGTGAAGCCATCGGCACTCAGCACATTGTGATAAAGGAGGCCAGCGGAGACAGGAAGTGTGCTTCAGGGGGAAGTGACTTCCCTTCCAGCCGGTGACCAAGCAAAGGGGTCAGAGATGAAGGGAAACGAAGGCTTTGAGAGAAATGGAGGATTTCAGATCAGAAGCAGTAGACTAAGTTCAAAAGCTCTGAAGGATGGTCCAAAGTGGAGGGGGTAGGGAAGGGAGGGAGAAAGCAGATGAGAAGTTTCAGAGTGAAAAGATGAAAACCGGGGCTTGGTGTCCAAGAAGGAGGGCGATCTCAGTGAATGAAAGATGAGGGCAGCATTTGGGAGGCAGAGAGCCTCTATGAGCTCAATGGTAAGATCTAGAAATGCCAAGCAAAGCGGACATCACTTCCTCGGGTGAATAGGAGGAGAATCAAGAGTTTCTAGATCAATGTGAGGTTAGAAGCAGACACAGAATTTTGATTAGAAGCAGAAAAAAAAGGAAAATCAGTGCAAAGACATGAATATGAAGAGGTTCAGAAATGAAGCCGGAAGCCTGCCAATCAGCTTCCGGTCGCTTGGGGCAATTTCACCCGAGAATTACAGGTGGACTTGAGCCACGCAGGAAAGCCTCGTTTCACTCGTGGGTGCCTTCTGTCCTTTATTGCTGCCAAGGCCCAATGTGACTCTGCAAAGCAAAACCACTCTCCAGCTCAGCCACACACTATGGAGGAGGTGTTTACAGAAATACCTTTGACGAGGGCAAGATACGGTATTTGGGCGATGTCTCCAGGAGGGCCTATGTGAATGCACGGGGAGACACTAGCTTCTGATCCCTGTGAGGAGAAGAGGGCTCTGTTCTCCTTGGAACTGGGAACACAACACAGTACTTGGGATTTAGGAAATCTTCAAGTGCTTTGAACCTACCAAACGCTTAACAGCTGCTGGAAGAGCAAGTGAATGAGGACTTGCATGGGAATTCCTAAGACTCTGCAGGGGAAACTGGTTAAATGAGCCCTGGATGGCATGCATGGTCCAGCAACATAGCATTGGCTCCAAAAGATAGGGCTTGGAACCTCATCTGGCCATAGAGTAGCAGTGGTAAGGCCCCGGGGCAATCTCTACCTGTAAAATGAGCCTCAGAATTCCCACTCACTGGGTTGTTAACCATTGTCACCTCCTGGGTCCCCTGCAGAGAGCAGACCATGCAGAGCCCCCTATAAAGGGTAGTTCTCAAATACTCATCCTTCCCTTCCTACTATTCTGAGGTTCCCACACCTTGATGATCATCCAGCTTCAGTAGGTCTGACTACAGCCGGACTGTGTAGGCCAGCTCCAGCCAGGTGCGAAGAGTTCCCACCCCGGAGCTCACCTGAGAGCCCCAGCTCCCAGGCTCCTCTGCTGCTCTCCCTCCTCCTCCTCCACTCCCCGTGCTGATGGGCTAATACCCTTCTCCCTGCTCACACAGCTGTAATAGGAACATTCTTTACAGTTCCTCCTTAAATTCCACTGCACTGCTCCAACCTCATGATTCTTCTTCCAGTCCTATCCACCTCCCAATTTCCCAGATACCCCACATGGGACAGAGGGATGAAGAGACTTCAGGGGCCACAGTTGGATAACCAGGGATGGGCACGGTTCCCTGTCGGTTCTGCTACCTATTCAGGCGAACTTGGGGAATCACATTTCCTAGCCTTTCTCGGATAAATAAAACCAGCAAAGGAGCAGGTGCAGCCAGAAGTGTTAGGGGTTGTTTTATCAGAGTCAGGTATGGCGTTCTGTTCATCAGATGATTACTAAGAATAACCTCCTTCCCCGCACCGTTCGCTCAGAAAGAGAGACCAAGCTGCTGGGCCCCTGTAATTATTAACAGGGGTCACTCAGTTCTCAGCTCCTGCTATGACATGGACATAAACTCCTGCCCTGGAGAAGGAAAACATTCTCGGAATCATCTGCCTTGTTACAGCTGGGTAGCTAAGGCGTGGATTTTGTAGTCAGTCCTAAACTAGAATCCAAACCCTTGTTGTGCTGGAGTCTACACGGGCAAAGCAGAATGTCCTAGAATGCCAGGTAACTAAGTGCAGACCTCTCAGCCTTGTGGTATTTATTCATCTGTGCATCCAAGTGAAGGGTCACTCTCTCCCTTAGTTCCAACTACTTAAGCTCACCTCCCTCAAGCCTCATCTGCATGTTTAACAGGTACTTCAAATGGAGCCTGTCTACACCTCATCTCTCATCGCCTCTGCTTCCAGCCTTTGTTGGTTCTTCCTCTACCAGCTCTTTGCCAGTCTACCCCCGACCTACTGCCTCAGAAAGAAATCATAATTCCGGCCATCTCCTCTCTGGCCCTGACCACACTCGGTTGGTCACTAAGGCTAAGTTCCCCAATTTGACCCTTCTCCATTCCCACTGTCACTCCCCTAAGTCAGACATCTATCGCTGTTACTCCAAAATAGTTACAAAATGCTACCCAGGTGAGAGATTGTGTCCAGCACTAGCCATGTATCTTAGTGAATTCTCTCAAAAACCTATAGAGTAGATATTATTATTACTATTATACCCCGTTTAGTGGATGAGGAAACTGATTCTTAGAGAATGTCGGTATCTTCCCAACATCTCCGAGTTAGCAAGTGATGGTCAGCTTGAACCCAGGCTGACTGGCTCCACAGTCCCTGACCACCACATCCCACAGGCCCTCACGCTGCCCTGTTCTAGAGCAGCCTCTTCCCGCCTGACATGCTCTCCACGTTTCCTCTGCCCAGACAGAGCTATCCCTCTGTCCCCTGCTCTCAGGCCTCCGTCACTCCCCATTCCTTCATGAATCTCACATGCCTGGACATGGCACAGAAGGTCTTCCCCACCAGCTGGCTCCAGGCACGCTCTGGGCATACGAAGCTATTTCTCACTCTTAACTATAAATACTGATTCCCTCCCGCGGGGACGCAGTGACGTGTAACTGGAGGAGTTCCTGGCACAGATGGAGAGAAACCCTGAGCACGGTCGTGCACACACACGAATAAGTGTGGGCATGCTGCCGGTCTGGGTCCAAGAAGGTCTAAAAGGCCTGCCCTTGATCTTGAGAAATTCAAGATAAACTTGGTTTCTAACTCTATGGTCCCCGAGGGCAGGGACCAGGATTTGGGTGACAGTACTCAGCACACAGCCCAGCCGCAGAGTGTGGCTGACACTCACGCGATTGGGGTGCATCAGTGAGTGACAGAGCCAGTGCGGGGTGACCTGAGGGCCTTTCTCAGCAGGCCCCAGTGCAGAAAATGCATCTGGCCGGTGCCTAAAAGGCTGCCTCGGAGAGGGCTGAGTGGCGGCTCCAAGCAGCAGCCCCATCTCAGCGAGTCACCCAGGTACCTCCTCAGCAGGCCGGGAAGATCAGCTCCCGGCGCAGACGGTGCCTCCCCGATGGCGGGAGAAGGCCTGGCCCAATTCGCACGCACGGAGGAGGACTGTGTACTTGAGAGATGAACAAAAGCGGGGTCTGAAGCAAGGCTGTTCTTATTTTAGCGCTTTCATTTTTTTTTTTTTCAAAGCAAGTTCCTTTTCCCCGCGAGTAGTAAGCTATTCCTGGCAGCATCTTTGTGAGGCAGATCTGTGAGCCCTGCCCCGCTGCAAAGGCAGCGCCTGCTGGAAAAGGTCAGGGAAATTAGCTCCGTTAGCGACAGGCATCTTCAGAGGCCGTCTGCAGCTCACCCAGCCCGACCCCTCCAAGCTCCAGAAGCAGGATCTGACCTCAGAGCTGCCCACCCCAGCACACCTTCGCCGCCTAAGGCTTTCCTCCGTCCACTGACAACACAAGCCTTCCTTTCCTGCCTCTGAGTTACACCTTCTTTAAGAGATTCATCTTCTGTCTCCACATTGGTAATATGTCCCCATTTCCCAAGACTGTTCAAGGGACGATTGGTGGGCGGGTTTTCTATGTGTCCGATGAGTAAGGTGTGTCCAAACATCTGCTCCAGGTCTGTCCAGAGCCCAAAGAAGGAGAGAAAGCTGTCCATCCCTGGGCAGCATTGT